AGAGGTAAGTCCAACTCAAGTAGTTGAAATTGGTTATGTAAGGTAGAGATGAAAACCATCAGCCATGATTGGGGTAACATATGTGAAAAGGTCGACAACCTCAGCTTCCAAATCCAAGAATTAAGGGAACTAGAATTTATAAGTTTTCAACTTAATAAAGTGAATATTTCAGATGGTTTATATAGTAGAGGAAAAATTCAAGACACGTCTGTGAAAGAATGCAGCGATGAAAGCATACAAAGGGGTTGAGATTTGAATCAGTATGATTCATTGTCTAATTCTTGTTTCCAATTACGAATAATGACTTGAGAACATGTTTGATGTGAGGAACCTTAGTTGTTTAGACATAGCGACCATACTTTTCTAGTTAATATGGTGTTCGTTAAGTGCTCGAATGGACGAGATGTTAGATTCTAACTCTATTCGATTTACCCTAAGTAATATAGGAGTGATTTGGAAAAGGATCGACAGAGTATGTGAATGTTGTGGTTCCTACACTATATTTGACCTCAGATAAGCGTAAATATCACTCGGTGTTAGTAGGACTATACATTGCGTAATATTAGACTATGTGGGTGAGACTGTAACAATTCTTCAATCATCTTGTGATGTTATACTTGTTTGTGAGCTATTAAGAATAAGTACTGACATGGCGAATAATGTGTACCAAGTTGTGGTATGGACTACTGTATCTCCTTGTTTATTTTGACCTGCCTAAGTTCTAGAACTACGCCAGGCGACAACCGAGGTAAATGAATATGTGAAGTGCAGTAGACCATGTTCCCTGCTAGTTATGGTTCATCTAACTCTGAGAAAGGTCGTAAAACTATGATAGGCGTCAAGTGATTAGGTGAATAGAAACCAGTGGCTATTTAGAACATTAGTGGAATGATTGCAGATTGTGACATTAGATTGGAGCCATGGTGTTCATGTTGGTGGAACAATTTTGGAATCTCTTATGCATGTATTATATGGATGATCACATGCTCGGTATGGAAACTGGTAAACTCTAGTACCTTTAAGGTTTATTATTCCTAAGAAGTAGGATTTAAAGGACTCGAGAGGTGGTGATCTCAGTGGGAATTTGTCCAGTTATACGAATGTCATGACTATAGGATACAAGTGGAGATTTTTATACGACACTAGATAGTTTACTTGAGTATATAGCCTCGGAGTTGGACCACAATATTAGTGCTCCAAGGTCCTTGGAGAAGAAAAGGAGAACATAGTGATAACATTGCATGAAGGACCTTGGAGAAAAAGAAGAAACAAAAGACATCTTGATCAAAGTTGCTAAATTCCATTCAACCATCTTAATTCTAATCATCAAATTTATATTCTTAACAAGGTGAGTCCTTAGGTCGAACTTAGGAAAATCAGGGTCTTACGGATTGCATGATCAAAAGGGTGGCTTTGTGTAAATGATTGAAAAATATGCCAATGTGTGTGAAAATGCTTGAAATTTTTCCAAAAGATCATTCACTAGAAATTAAAAAGAACAAATATGATATGATGAAGATTTGTCAAATCAAAGATTTCAAATTATCTTAATGAAAATTATTTTCTTGCGTTTTGGGGATTGATTCAGTTGTGCCATAAATATACAAACCCTAATGGGCTTTGAAGATTGACATTGTTGCTATTTAAGGATAAGCTCTCCATTGTGAAAGACTCGGGTCATGAGAATGAATCAATATGTGTTTTAGTTGTTTGAGTCGTTTGTTTTTATTTTTGTTATTTTGTATTGTCATACTCTATTCGCAAATCACATTCCTATGTCAAAGAATATAGTAGTTTGAGTTGTAATCCATTCTATCAATCTTAAGCTATTGTAATTTTCTAAACACTTAGAAGAGTGTTTGAGAGAAAATGATAGGGGTCTCATATTCAGGGGGTCTTGAATAGGAATTCACGGGTAATACTAGGAAAAGAGGCATTGAACGTGGAGACTTATACTAAGACCAATTTATACTTTTAACTATTAATAGTGAATTTCATTTCTTGGGTTAACACCCTTTAGGCGTATGTGATTTTGCACCGAATAGCGTTAACAATTCCTTGTGTCATTTTTCTTCTTGCTATTATTTTTATTCTTACTTATAAATTTTGTCAACCACGTTGTTACTATATTATGTTTGAATCTTTGCATACGAAGAACCGAATTTCAGTGAAAGAGTTATAGTTGAATCCCTTTAATAGAGGCGGCGAACTAGGGGTGATCAAGGGGTCTCCTAGATTTCTCATCTGATACAAAAGGCTTTCCACGTCTCTGACACGTGCAAAAGATTAAAGCCAATTTGGTGTCCCAAGGTTAAATCATCATTGGGACCATTAAATGTCTCACACGCTTTTTTCTTTTAACTGGCATTTGGGGAGTTCCCTTAGCTCACATATGGATTACATCATTGACACCTGAAGACATATCTCATATTCACCCATGTGTGGGGCACTCGCCTTACATGTAAGGGAGTCGCCTCATACTTGAGGGACTCATACGTATAAGAGGAGAGGAACATGACTAAATCACTTCTTCTTTATTAAGTCATCATGCTTGGAGGACTATGTATTAGTATATTTGTAAGGGGCCATGATAGGAAACATGAATGATGCATTATCTCTCTATGAAGCCCTTTTGGTCGCCCGTTTACGATATTGATCACTTGTTTATTGGATGTGTAACCCCTTCGCTAAATATGTCACCTAGTTTTGAAATGACTCACCTAGCATGGGAGAATATGGAAATGGTGTGTCCATATTCTGCCACGATGTAGAAGGAGTCATAAGAAAGTTAACCATGCTCCCCTGAATAACAGGAGGTTAACTATCCACACCCACATTTTTTTACAAGCACTTGGTATTTTCAATAGGCATAGGATTTAGGCCTAACACAAATATAAATATCTCAACTCAATTGAGAGAGGACAAGATTCAAGCTTAATACGGATATAAATATCTCAACCCAAAAGTTGGGAGGGGGCAATTTGATACTCACACAAAAACTACATACACAAAGCTTTCACCTTCATATGTTAGCTTTCACCTTCATATGTTAACTAGCTCTCACCCTTATAATATACCTTTAAAGGTGGCAAAACAGGTTCGACCCGTTAGACATGTCTATTTTGTCCTCACTTTAGTGTGGGAGCAACCCAATGGTTTAGGTTCGCACCTTCTAGCGATCTGCCTCACTCTACCCTGTTTTTCTTGCGGACTTTTACGGGCACATATATTAACATAATTTTTTGTATTTTTAAATTTAAAATATGCAGTGCCCACAGGCCCATCCTACCCCGCTCTAACTTATAGTGCGGGGCATGCTAAGGTTTTAGGCACATACCCTCAACTATGATTGCTCCATCCTACTCCACTTTTTGCAAACTTTTGTGTGGCGGGTATACTAGTTTGTCGCCCTTACATACCTTTAAGGCACCGACAACCCTTAAACACTAAAAAGTTGTCTTGTATTATACTTTTAGCAAGTACAATATGTAACATTTAAGATATTGGTTGATGGTGAACTTCAAAAAAAAAAACTCATTGATGCAATCCTGTCCATGACATTAAGAACATATGATATCAATAAATATTTATATTGACTTCCATTATCATGAAAGATTTGGTGGCTCAGATTAGATGGTAAACATGTCGCTTTTTTTTTAATTTTATATATATATATATATATATATATATATATATATATATATATATATATATATATATATATATATATATATATATATATATATATATATATATATATATATATATATATATATATATATATATATATATATATGTGTGTGTGTGTGTGCAAATAGTAAAATAATTAATTTTTAAAGGTGAAATTAAAATGAAAAATAAATTGGTTTCCGTCAATGTTTCAAAAATAAATTGTAAAATAATTATGACGGAAAAATTTTTATTTACTAAAATAAATTAAAACAATATTTTTTTTAATTAAAAAATTAACTAATTTGATTTTAATTTAGATATGGATGTCCAAATTATAGATTTAGTTAAAACCTTATTAAAAATATATCTAAAATTGGATTTGGTAAAAACCATACTAACAATTAACCAGTTTTTAATAACCGAATTTAAATATGAAAATGGATTATTTAAATAAACAGTTTATATGAGTACCCCTAAATATCACAAAATAAAATGCCAAAAACCAACAAAAACTATAATGTAATAGTAATAATTAACAAAATTCTATTTTAAATTTTAACATGTCAAAGAAAGAGATTTGGGTTCTAGTGAGAGTGGTATGCAAGGAAAAAATAGAAAGGAATATCTTCTATTTTAAATTATGTTGAATATCATAAAATAAACACAGCAAAATAAAATAAACGAAATTGAACAGAGCAAACTAAAATAAAGCAGAACAAAAATTTCACTCTATTTTATTTGAAACTTTTTAAACAGAATAGACAAATTGTTAGTTTCATTCAAATTGAAAGCGAATGGCGTATTTCTTGAGTTTTACTTCTACTTAAAATTTTATTGAAAAATTTATGTCAAGTAGTCTATTAAAATATAATATCACATTCAACATTCTTATTGCTTCTACCTATATTCAAAATGAAAAAAATATTTCAAATACTTCATTAATTTTTAAAATTAACGTTACATTAAAAAAATAGGAAATAGAAATAAAGTTGTGTATTATTGAGTTTTAAACCAAAAACACTTGAAAAATGCTTTTATGCAATATATTTATTCAAAAATAATAGATTTGTGTAAACTCTCCCTTGCTATTGCCTAATCAGAGTCAAAGTAGCGTCGCCAGAAATTTAAAGGAAAAAAACCTAAATTTTTTATAGAATTGAAATTGAAAATGCAAATGAAATAAGTGGTAAATGGCCTATTTTAAAGAAGCAAATTAATTACTTAAATACAAATGGAGCTTAAGATTCACACAGAAGCTTGGACAAGCTTTTACATTCTAGGGTTAAGAAATTAACATTTGGGAATAAAATTGGAGTAGATACAACAAACTAAGCTCTTTCGCCTCTGATTCTTCTTGCAAGTTGAATGTCCTTAGGCATGATGGTAACTCTCTTAGCATGAATTGCGCACAGATTTGTATCTTCAAACAGTCCAACCAAGTAAGACTCAGCAGCTTCTTGAAGAGCCGAAACAGCACTGCTCTGGAACCTCAGGTCCGTTTTAAAATCTTGAGCGATTTCACGAACAAGACGCTGGAAAGGAAGTTTTCGGATCAGAAGCTCGGTGCTCTTCTGGTACTTACGGATCTCTCTCAAGGCAACTGTTCCTGGCCTGAATCTGTGTGGCTTCTTCACTCCGCCGGTTGCCGGAGCTGATTTCCTAGCGGCCTTTGTTGCTAGCTGCTTCCGGGGAGCCTTGCCGCCGGTTGATTTTCGAGCTGTTTGCTTTGTACGAGCCATTGAGAGAAACTTTAGAAGATTGATTTTGAGATGAGATTGACTTAACTTCGATGCGTTTTGTTATGATGTGAAAAAAGGGTTTTATAGAGGTGTTTGAATTGAAGTGAACTGAAATTTTAGAGGGAAAGGGAGCGAGTTTTTGTTTTAGAAGCGATCCGTGTGAGTGTTAATCTAACGGTTACGATTGGATTAAACGATAGCGCACGGATTCTACTTTCCCCATGTATTCCTCTCTCATACCTTGTGTATTGACAATGTTTTCAATGCTCCATATTAAATCAATATTTTTTTTTTAATTTAATATATAATTCTTAAGAGCATGCATATCTTACTTTTTTTTAAAATCATTTTTACATAAAAATCATAGATTTATTGTTTGGCTGGATTACTAAATACTATTAATGTTTTGTGAAACTTTTTTATTAAAACATGGTGTCTTGCGGTTGGTTTTGAATTGATTTTAATATCAAATTTAACATTTTAAAAAAATGATATTTATGATGTTTGTTTTGAATTTGGCAACAAAAAATAGAGAAAATAATAAAATCAATAACAAGAAAAAATTCTCAAGTATCCAATATAAAAGAAAATTCTCAAGTACCCTTAACCTTTGGATTTTTAGACTTAGAGGGAGCTTACAAATCTCAGACTCTGATGTTACCAAGTAAATTAAAATAGTCTAACATTGTTCTTAAATACTTATGTTTGTCATCATAAAAAATGGGGAGATTGTTAGAACAAGATTTGTTCATGACAAGTATTCCTTAAGGTTTTTATGATAACAAAAGCATTGAAAGAACAATGATATTATCCAATGTGTGTTCTAATTATGTAGGTTCCAAAACTTAGGAAGAATCTATTAAGAATCTGATGAAAGGACGCATTTAAGAGAAGCTGAGTTATTGACTTCTGGTGGTTCAGAAGAATGGTCTTTAAGTGAAGTTTGATAATATAGGTTGGCGTAGACTTTGGAGCTGAAGGTATCAGCATCAGAAGAGAAATATATTATATCTACACTTATTGAATGAATTAGCTTATGGTGATCATTTGAAACCGGTTACGAAGCTAAGTTATCTGTACTGCAGAAAGCAAGCTACAATGTCAAATCAGTTTGTCAGTTAGAGATTGTGTTCACATGGCTCAAGAAGAGTTGACATACTTTATAGATATCCACTCTCGACGGATATATAGTACAAGATCACAAGGAATACGTTATGGTTAAAGGAGTTACACAATGGATAAATATTTTTTGGTGTGTTTATCTTCAACGTCTCTTGTACTATAGAGTAACAAATACACTTGTACAAGTTATCTCTTCCAACAAATATCATTCTACAACTGCTATACAAGTAGTTGAAGATTCAATCTAGAATCAACAAAAAGGAAGATAAAGAAATAGAGCCAAGAAGAAACAAGTGTTTCACGCTTTTATTAGAATGGAAGAATAACAGGATCAACAATGGCAACACAATCGAGGATGCAAAATTTCAATTATTTGTTGTAAATTGTACAAAGCCTTAAGATTTCTTAAACATTGAATATCTTAGAAATCTTAAGAGATATGATCTTTGTTATGGTTATTTCCCTATACCTCTGGATTATCAAGTACACCTTGTTGGCTATTCTGCTAAACAGATTGTGTTTATTAGTTTAGAAAGAAAGTCTCTTGCTATGTGCTTGAGCATCAAAGTTTCTTGTTGTGAGCTTGAGCCAAGTAAGTCTCTTTTTATGTGCTTGAGCATTGAAGTCTTGATCAGTTGTTGATTAAGCAAGAAAAGTCTTGGATTGAAAGTCTAAGCAGAAGTCTTGGATTCGAGGAATCTAAGCAGGGAAGTCTTGTACTCGAGGAGTATGAGTTGAAGTCTTAAACTTGAGGGGTTTAAGCAAGAAAATGTTGGATTCGTGGAATCTAAGCAAGAAGTCTTGAATTCGTAGGATTTAAGTAGGAAGTCTTGAACCTGAAGGGTTTAAGCGGGAAGTTTTGGGCTGAGGGTTTAAGCATGAAGTTTAGAATTTGTGGGATTTAAGCAGGAAGTCTTGAACCTGATGGGTTTAAACAGGAAGTCTCAGGCTGAGGGTCTGAGCAAAAAAGTTTTATGCTCGAGGGCATAAGCAATTATAATCATGATTTGATTATAATGGAAAATCTATTGTGCTGCAATAGGACTAGACTACTCTTAGTTTACGAGGAACCAAGATAAATCTTTGTGTGTTATGTTGTTATTTATTTGCTTTTGTTATTGTTCTGCTGCAACTAGTAATCAGAATTTGAACACGGTTTAGAATCTGAACTCTGTTCAAAAGCAAAGCAAAAATGATAAACACAATTCAACCCCCTTCGTGTGTATTTTTCTCACATTCAAAGTATTTATAAATGCTTTTCAGACTTTAGGATTTAGGAAACCCTTAGGGGCAGCAATCGCTCCTCCGTGGTTAGGGGAGTTTGTTGACTACCTATTTCTCATAGAGTCATAGTGTGACTCCTTCTTACATAACTAACGAGAGATAATGATATTATATACATTAAATGTCCTAAAGGTGAGCCCCCCCCCCCCCCCCCCCCCACACACACACACACACACGTTATGTATAGATGTATCATGGGCGACATCACTCTAGATGAAAACCCAGGAGTTGCCCTTTTTACGTGACCCTCATAAATATAACATTACAACTTTCATATTTTCAGCCATCTTTCAAACCAAATTGTTTGAACTCTTTAATTCAATCCACCTCTTGAATGTAGTCAATATCGCATCGAGCTCATGGAAATATTAAGAAAAGGTTACAAAAGTAGAACCTAACATCTTCTTCGTGATATAAAAAAAAATACAAAAATTTTCTTGTCATAATTGAAGGATTCATATAAGAGATGATGTGAAGCTTGATCAGAGTCCAGAGTAATTATGAACAAGAAATGCATAAGAATAACCTCAAGAATATCCAAACAACCAACAACCACTAGTTTCCAAATGCGTTGCTTTATATGTTGTTGGTGTTTTTGTTCAAACTCTTCAATACAATCACCAAAAACTAATGAAAAAGCAGTTTCTGGAGCAATTGAAGATATGGTAGCCCTACCACTGTCTTTGGAATCCCCTTTGGTTTTTGCAATCTTAGATGCCATTGATAATTGTTCAGGTAGAGGTTGCACACTAGGTGTTTGAAGAAATGTGCAAATGAGAAACAAACAAAGTTTGAGGAATATTTGATTACCCACAAACCAAAATCAAGACCAAAGATTCTAATGCACACACAATTAATAATGAATACTAAGAATGAGTAGAAATCCGAAATCTTGGAGGCTTGGGTGTGATTTGAAATATGAGGATAGAGAGACATTTATAGAAGACGAAGAAAGATGAGTTTCAATTGAATTTTTGAAAGTGTATAGTTCAATAGGTTGATGGGATGAATCTAAGAAAATATTGGAGAGATTAAAACACTTTAATTAGTTATAATACTCAAGAGAATTTAGAAAGATGTGAAGACAAGTACATGAATGAGATATTAATGTAAAACCACATGAAAAACTATTCAAATGCGTTATGAGCCAACCTTTGAATGTTATGAGTCGACCTATGAATGTTATGCATCGACACGAATTTGAAAGAATTCAAAAAATTCATCTTATTGTTAGCTCACAAATTCGACGCCCATACTAAATTGAAATGTTTGGATGAAATATTAAACCCTTGAAGAAGTATAAAAATCTTCGAGTAAAGATACCTTCGAGTAGGCTGAATTATTTAAGTATTTGGGACTTAGAAAATATTTCTAAATATTAAAGATGCCACCTTTGATTGAGGTTGCTGGCTAAGTATTAATGGAATTTTGAAATTCAAATAAAGGAGGGAGTAGTTATGTTTTCTCATGACTAAACAAGACACATGGCGCACATTCAACAAGTGATTACATGCGACATGACACTTGTCATAGGTTGGTCATTTTAGGAGGTTAAGGGCCATTAGTTTTATTATTATAAATAGGGATTCTAGCATTGGAATTCAGTGTGTTGTAATTTACTATTTGTACAAGTCACTCCCAAAATTACTCAAAGTATCCGAGTGTAGAGAAACGAGTTATATGAGAATGTACGTCATGTAAACACACCATCTCTACGTTTTAATGAAACTTATTTTATTTTGCTTAATCTTAAAGAGTTGATATTTACTTCCTTGCAATTTACATGTTTCTTGCATTCTGCTTTACTTTGTTTAAATGTTTTGAAGGCTCTTTACTTTGTTTCTACAAATTCACGTCTTGTTATTTTAGTCGAACCTTACCCTTACATTAACCTTTTATCAAAAGCACTATCGAAGTGTTCAGTTTTAGATAGTTTTCTTTCAAGTAGAATTTAGCACATGTCTTAGGATCAATCTGATCGATCTTATGAGTCACCAAAGTTAGATTTGGAAGATCAGCAGTTGTTCTCCAATTTTCAGGGGAAACACTTATGCGTTGACCTATACGAGCATGCGTTGACACATACTGTAACAATTTTGAAAAATACCAAAACTCAGTTTTATGTGTCGACCTATACCTTTCATTAGTCGACCTATAAGGTTCAGGATTTAAAGGACTTTGACACATATGAATTTTAATGCCATTGAGGAACTCAACTTGACTCATGGATAATTAATTGATGAGAGAGACATGCATATGATATTTTTTTCATGGTTTGTTAGCTAATAATATGCAAACATGTAAATGTAGGCATGAAATGGCAAAAGATATAAATTGAATGTGAAGATATTTAAAATATGATCACTATAAACATGTAAAATGCAAACATATAGTGGCAACATTTGAAAAATTTGGAAGTGAATACATATAACAAACATCATACACATAATACATCGTATACCTTCGAGAAATAAACAAGTAAAATAAATACATACTTACAAAATAAGAAAAGGATTGAAATGATATTACCTTATTATACGAATGATGGAGAATACACTCACACTCCATAGAGAACTTTCAAACAAAAGTTGGAA